CCCACTCCATCGCCAAAATCCGCGTCTCGCCCGCCTTCCGCATCCGGCGGCCGCGAAACTCGGCAGAGGCACGCCCGTGCACGTCTCGCATCGCCCGCCGTCGGCTGCAGGCGCGCCCGACGCGTTCTCTGCTCGCGGCACGCCGGTCGACGCCGCTGGCCCGACGCCCCGCGACGCCGCCAGCGCGAGCTAGCACGTCCCGCAACGCGGGCGTGGCCCCTGTGCACCGCGGTCGTGGCCTGTACGATGCGGCCGCGACGCCGGCGCACGCGGATCGGCCTCGACGAGGGATATGGCCGCCGCCCGCCCCCGACTCGGCGCCCCGCTCGCGCATCGGCATCGTGCCCGGGCCGCACAGAAACCGCACCACGCACTCCCATGCAACAGGGTGCATCCCCCCGCGGAGTCTCGGGGCGATACGCGAAGATTGAAAATCGCGCATTTTGGGCGATTCCATGGGCGCTCGCACGGCGAGAGCGACAGAAATGCGCGTCCGCGCACAAGCACGCCTCTTCTCGCGGCGGGATTCGGCAGAAGCACTCCCGTGCACTCCCTGCATCGTCCTGCACCGCGTACGGGTGCGTGGGACGGGTGGTTCCGCGGCGGGATGCGAGGGACCGCGTCGTCGAACGCATCAAGACGCCCCGGCGCGGTCCTCTGAGCCCCGCACGCGACGAGCTCCTTGGAGTCATGCACAGCGCGCAGGTCGTGCACAGCGAGCAAGTCGTGTGTATGCTGCGCAGACGTCGTTCGCGTGCGCTCGTCGCGTGAGGTACGCGTTCGCCTTACCTCGCGTGCGCCCACGCTGACGGCACCCACAGAGTGCCGCCCACCTACCTCCCCGCCGAGCGCCGTCGCCGCCACTCCGCGAACGAGCGCACGAAGCGGGCTAGAGCACCCGGTCGATGCAGCGATGTCCGCCACCGCCGTCCGCGCCGCTCGACACGGCCGCCTCTGTGTATGTAACTACATAGTAGTACCGTTATATACTCGTCTTCAGCCCTCCCGCCTCCTCCCAGACCGCATCTAATGTCCGCGCCGCGCCATCGTTTCCGGGCCGCGTGTGTTGTCGTTGTGCACGTGGCTGTCGCGTACCACGTCAGTCATCCGTGTGCCCGCGCGAGCTCGAGTCTGGAGCGCTCACCTGCCGGTACCGAAGTCTAAAGAGGATCCTGCGAGCGCCACGGAGGTACGCCTCGGGGCGTGAGGAGTAAGCGGCCTGGGCAGCGCAGATCTGACGAGGTGAGCAGTAGTGCATTCTCGGCGACGGCATTACTCACCGGGGCTCTTGAAGGACCGTTTTAGGAGACATATTCCGCTCGCCGGCCTGTAAAGCAGGTTGAGCACGTCGTACATGGCGGCGAGACACGCACATCAATACATGGTACTCACCGTGTGGCCTGTGGCGCCGCCGTCCTGTACCGTGATACGCACCGTACTGACGTGCGCCGCTACGCGTCGCGGTCATCGGCGGCGACGTGAACTTGCAGCGGCATGTTCCTGCGTGCGGCCGTCGAATAGAGGTAAGTCTCTATGTCTGCGCGAAGCACCGCAAGCGGCGAGATGCAGGCGACCTGGGCAACGAGGATCCAAATGGGTGAGCGACATCGCGTACTCCATGTAGAACAGCCGACTCACCATGTGCAAGGTGACCTTGGAGGATGCGTACTGTATGTCTATGAGCGGCCCGCGAGATCGTCGTGTGTCGCCTCGAAAATGCGCGGGCACGCTCGGTGGCGGACTTGTCCCGGCGCACGTCTGTGCGCGAAAAGAAGCCGCATGAGCTGTGAGCGCGGGGAGGGCGTGCGCGAAGTCGTGCATCCTGCGCGCCCACTCGCGCAGAGCTTGCCGCGTGGTTTTCTCCTGGCGCGACACTCGCCCCGTTGTCCGCGTTGTCGAGGAAGAGCACGGCACGGCACGAGTCGCGACATCACTCTGGAAGCAACAAACAGGGTCAGTGTGCTCGTACGTGATCCGAGTCTGGGCCGCTATGCTAACCTGGTTGTGTCGTAGGCTCTGCGACTTCCGTCGGCCATCAAGACGGCCTAGCCTCGAATGGTGTGCGCAGCCAGTTGAGGGTTGAAGAAAGCCTGGCAAAACGTCAAGGGAGTCCGCCTTCCACATGATCAGCAGCACGGACTCACCTCGTTTCAAAGGCCTCGTGCCATGCTGTCGAGTGCGAGTGTGCACTGCGGGCAGGTCTACGACAATGGGGGGTCAGCGACCGCACTCTGGAAGCACCAAATACGTACCGGACGGCACCAGGACTGCGCGAAGCCGAGGGCGGTCGGGGACGGAACTGTTACAGGCAGAACGAAGGGTTGTCGCAAGCTGAGGGACGGAGTCGGCGTACGTACAAATGCAAGCGACACGACGGGGAGGAGGGGAGATTTAAGCGAGGCGGCGGAGGTGGAGGCGGAGGCGGAAGGGTGAGTACGCCCGCGTTGCGCGCAGATCCGTACTTATACCACCGTGGTTTAGGGCCGTCTCGCTCCCCTGTCTTCGACGTACCATGGTCCGTGCACCGACTATCTGTCGGAGCCAAGCCGTCCTCCGTCGTATGGATACCGCTCCTTTGCCGATCTTACGAGAAGACCGGAGGGACGCTCCGAGCCCACTGAGTGGCACGCCAACCACGGAGCGACACGACGAGCCGAGGGCAACGGGGTGAGCGGGAATAGGTGCGCACGGATGTACCGCGGGAGGATGAACGTACCTACGCGGCGCGGTGTGATTCCGCGCTGGTCTCGAGGGGCATGCTCGCTTCGGAAAGTGGGCGCTCGGTGAGGAACTGCCTCCGTTTCAAACGACCGTGGGCGCGGCCGTTGTGGGTTCCCCAGTATCCTGTTCCCATACTGGCTGGGGGGGAAGCCCTCCATCTTGGGGCAACTGTCCGAAAGCTCGTAGGCCTCTGCCTGAGCTCTCGTAACATATGAACGTGGGTGCTCCGTTTGCAGTGTGAGTGTGATGCAAGAGTCAGCGGGAATAGGTCTGCAATATTGTAATAGTCGGTTTCAGAGCATGTACGCACACCGAGAGCCGAGAGTGCCCATGACCAGATCTGTGCGCACAGGAAGGAAACAGTCTAGAATATTCATCATACATTAGTGCATGCTCGTTAGGGTGCAATAATGGAAACGGAAGAGCTATACAGGAAGTGTGCATCCCGGCAGCGTTGGACTAGCTTGGGGAAGCGGCGACCGCTCGCAGGACCATCCCGATCTCCGTCCCTCGACGGAGATGAAGCTGTTCACAACTTCAAATTGCTGATGCTATCATATATCGGCAATGTAAATAGGCCGTCTCCATGCGCTTGAGAATGCGCTCTCTGGCGTGTACAGATCCTTGACACCGGCAGATGTGGTAGTACAGGCCTCGAGGATCTGAACGTGCTGGGGCCCACTCGGCTGGTGCGAAAGTGCCGCCCAGCGTGCACAGATGCCTTCTAAGCAGGTTGATACTGCTATGAAAGCGGCGCGAATATTATTGAACTTGAATGGAGCGCATTTCCAATGCATAGCAAAGGTGGCATTCAAGGAGGGTGTAAACTCGGATTGCAATGATGCAGGAAATGTGATACGAAAGTAACGCGTGCATCAATAATGCCTCAAGTGTGTGTACCTCACGATTTGATATAAAAGCAGATACATGGCCAGAATGTGCTTCAAGAAGTGCATAAGCAAAGAGGCGAGACCATAGAGAGCAGACGAGGAAGAGCGAGCGCAAACGCGAACACCGCGTGCGTTGGGCGGCTCCAATCCTTCTTGCCCAAATAGGCAGGCGCACTCACTCATTTCGGACTCGGTGCTCGCACCCTATCGTGCGCTCTCTCCACGACCAGAGCTGGTTCTACGATCTCGCAGCCCGACTGCGCGGCGTTCAGTATCCATTCGCGAGTAGCGCGGCCATGACGTCCTCGCGAATCTCGACTGCAGGGCTCATCTGAGGGTAGCGCCGGCCAGATCAGAATCATATCTAAGATCTGAGGGTGCCGCAAACCTTCGTGTGGAGGATACTTCATATCTGCATTGATTTCTACTTGTTATGTTCTACAAATTGGAGCCCCAGATGAATATACTACATGAGATGCAGAAGTGGAAGTGGCCAGGAAAAACAGAGCGAGGAGCATACTGCTGCACACTCTGGTCTTCCTGGCCATTCCACTTCTGAGGAAGCGAGAGCATCCGGGGAGGGCGGCGGAGCCCTGGACACCCCACCGGAGTACTGCTGCGTGAATACAATAACCGTGAGCACGGAGACGCGGTCATTTTCGTGTGCATCAGAACGTAAGAATGCAAAATAGTGCACCCAGATTTGGGACACTCCCTGAGCGGCCAGGATCCCGATCACGCCGTATCCACAAGCCCGACGATACTATTGGCCTAGAGTACAGTGAGGTAAGAGACTACATACAGGCGAGCATCAGACCGCGGCGCGCACAACACCCGAAACGCCTGCTGCCTCACGACGCGCGCCGTTCCGTACGCGGCACAGCTCGAGATTTTCACCTCCGAGCCTCCCGCTCCGTCTGCATCGTGCCTGGCGAGGGCCGGTGGCATGCCCGCCATCCCTGACTTGGCACACCCACCTGGGTCTGCTCCCGCAGTGTCCAGGCCGCTCACCCGCACTCGGCCTTCTTTCCTCTCCCCCTCACCTTCCCATACCCTGCCTGCCACTGCCATGCCCACCCCATCTCGCCCTTCCGTCCTCTCCCGCCTCAACTGAGCTAGAGACCACGAGCTCGCTGCTCCGCAACGCTTGCGGCAAACAAGGTGAGCACACAACGAACTGTGGTCCCGCAGGCTGCGTGAGACGGACGAGGCTTCAACGCCGTCAATCATCTGGTGAGCTGGCCAGCCACTGACACCGCCTGCACCTCCAGTGCAGCGGGAAACTCAGTTGGCACGAGCTGCCAGTGAAGGGGCGCCGCACATTTTCCGCGTGCGTCCGGCAGTGCGATACAGGGAACTAGTCGAGGGTGCTCGCCCCCGACGCAGTTCCCTGTCTCGCGGTTCCCGCCCACCGCGGAACACGCCCCTTGCACCCAGACAGCCCTGCGAGCTTGTCGAGTGCAATTCCCGGCCACTGCGCACGCGCGCCCTTGGCAAGCCTCTCACTGTTTGTATATCGGGCGCTGTACACTGATGCAGCCCTTCACAGACCACTCATGGGCGCGCAGTCTGCGCCATGTGCGCGCGCCGACTGAGTGAGTCACAGGCAGAGAACGCGAGTTCTAAACACGCCTGGACGTCTCTCTTACACAACTCAAAGCCTCCGACTCACCCTATCGGTGCCGCTCGTACTCGCCGTGCCGGCGTCGACGCGAGGCATTTCGGAAGAGCGCGACTACTTCCACGGTAGCACGGGAGTCACCTACATTTGTTGCGGGCACATGTTAGCCGGTCTGGAGCAAGGACGCGAGAACGCGAGGAGGGAGTGCGGGTCGGCGTCTCACCAATGAGCTCGAGAAGGGCACCTGGGTACGTGATGTGATTGTCTTGCACGCAATGTTAGCTCACTTCAGCTATGTTGCGAATATGCAGGTCTGTCGCCGCGAGTGCGGATTGCGATGGCCAGGGTGGATGAAGAAGCCAGGCTCGAGGCTCGTCGTGGGGCAGGGTGAAGGTGCCGCGCGCGACTCCTCGATTGCGCGCGATTCCGATAAGCGCCTTATTTGCCAAGTGCCTCCGCGGCTCACCGAGGCTCACTCCGGCACCGCATCCACTCGTCCTGGACGCGTTGACGGTCGTCCTTTCTCCGCTATGTACTCCTTGTGCTCGACTACTCACATACCGGCTATTACTGGCAACCAGGAAATAACGTGCACGAGCCCGGCGAGCACTTGGACCAAGTCTTTCGTACGACCGGAATTCGAAGCACCCACCGTGAACACGAGCATGCGTTCCGCGTCCGGCGCATGCCTTCAAGCTCTTGAGCTTTGCGGCTATGCTGCGAGTTCAAGCCAGGCATGGTACGTACCATTGTAGTTCTTATCTTGAGTCAGCAGCTGAACTAGATTTTACAGATGAAGAATTGTCCGTTTAGGAGGCCGGCGGCGCCGCCCGCCATAGTATACTCTGTTACTCGTGGGCTACTATCATTGCCCGGGAGGGCATCAGGACCGAGGCCGGACGAGCGAGCAAGTTAGAACAACGGCGGCGCAGGACTTTGAAGTTTCGAGCTACGTCGGGATAGGCGCCCGGCGACGTCCAGAAAGGCGGAATCGGCTCGCGGCGTACGTGGCTGCTGTTTGCCTGTTCCAAGGCGCTCGCTCACCTTTGATTTTATACAGTCGTCTATCCCGGGACTTGCCTAGTTGGCAACCCGACTCCCCCAACACCATACACCCTCTCGCAGGGTTCGATCTCGAACGGCAGGGAGCGGCTGCGAGCCCCCGTTCCGCGTCCAAGGCATACATTGCGGAGCGCCCGGCTGGTGCGTGCGACGCGATGGCCAGTGCGAACGAGCGAAAGTGCGTACCGTTTTCTTTTTGCAGATCCGATGTTCCCGCTGACTGGCCCGGCCTGCAGATTGTGCATGCAGGTTGACGTCGGGAGAGGCGGTCGGCGCACGAGGACGGCGACGCGAGCACAGAGCGAGGACGTGGAGTGAAGCAGAGACGCGACGCGTCGACGCGAGACTCTGACGTCCTTGTCAATCTCGGGCAGCGTCGAAATAGGCGCCCGCGGCCGCTCGATGGCGAAGATGTCTCGCGGGCGCGCAGAGCGCTCTTGAGCCCATACCACCTTCTCACGCATGCTCGTCCCGACCACGGCGACCCGGGGCGATGGGACTTTACACTACCGGGAGGAGACTCTGCGC